TTTTTTTTTTTTTTTTTTTTTTAATGGCTGAATAGTATTCCATAGAGTATATGTGCCACAGTTTTTCTATCCACTCATCTGTTAGTGGGCATTTTCTTTCCTTCTTTTTAAGACAGGGTCTGTTCTGTCACGCTGTTCCTGCCTCAGCCTCCTGAGCTGCTAGAACTACAGGCACACATTACTGTGCTCAGCCTTCAGGTTGAGCCAGGAATCGAACCCAGACCTCTCACGCAGCATCAGCCTCCAGAGCAACAGCATCTCCCAGAGCATGCCACCGTGGCCAGACCTGTATTTCTTATTTTGTGAGTTGCCTGCTCATGTCCTTTGCACGTATTATTTGGAACAAAAGGTTTTACAGCTTTTGTGTCCTCAATCTCAACTATCTTCATAATGAATAATCCTCTTTGGCCCTGTCGGTGATTTTTACCTGCCGTTTTGTTATGAGTGAGAGTGATATTGTAATATCTTGCTTACACTTTTATGATGTCTCTCTGCTCACCCTTTTACTTGTAACTGTGTGAGTCACTGTTGCAGTTGTGTCTGTCAGACAGCATGTGGGTGGATTTGGGTTTTTGACTTAGTGTGACAATCTGACTTTTTTTTTTATTTGACACATACTAAAGGCTATATAAGCCATACGTTTGCTATTAAACAGGTAGGTAAGCTCAATTATATTTATGGTCAGCTCTTCTCCATGTTTCTTTTTCTCTATTTCTGAGTCCTCTATAGGCTCTTTAATTCTCTATTTCATGAATTCAACTTCTCAAGAGAGAATGTTAGGAAAATATGAAGTGTCTTGAGCTGTTAAATAGGAATGACTGAGCTATTCATTATCAAAAATGTACATTGTCTTGTTATTTTTTAAATAATTATTTTATTTAACTTTATTTAATTTTTAATTTGACCAGAGAGGGAGAGAGGGAGAGAGAGAAAGAGAGAGAGAGAAGGAAAGTGAGAAAGCAAGCCAAGCAGGTCTGGGAATTGAACCACAGTTGGCCATGTTTTGAGTCCAGGGTCCTTAACCTACATGCCACTGTCCAGCACCCATTTGTTTTTTTTTGAGAGGCGGTGTGGCCATGGTACAATCCCTTCTCTCCATTTCTCCATCCTGCTGGCATTTGGGCAAGCACACGTGTGAACCTGGTGTTTCTTGAGCTGCCAGGGCTGAAATTCAAACCCAAGTGAGCCACGTAGGGTTGGTTTCCCTTGATCATCAGACTATGGCGCCAGCCTCGTTATGTCAAATCTTTAAGAAAATTGTCATACACTCTCACGAAGGCATCTGCCACTTGATGGACAGGCCATGACTGAAGTGCGACTGGGCACACAGCTTCCCGTGAGCACTGACCTTCTGAAGTCCGCCGTTCTCCTCCACCAGCGGTGGGAGCACGCTGGGGCTGCTGGGTGGAGGGGCCTCCACATTATAGTCCCGGAAGCAGCAGAAGAAGGAGCTGAGGATGCTGCGGCTTCTCTGCTTCTTCAGGCTGACGCTGCACTGGGATGCTGGAAAGAGAAACAGAGCACGGTAGCAAGGCAGCATGTACGACATGAGAACTCCGACATGCACTCCCGCCCCAGAACCCGGGTTTCGGGGAGCCCACTCCCGAAGTTACTCTCAAGGACAGTTAATCCAGTGAGACTCGTAGAAGGCCAGCTGGCCGATGGAATCTGACCCTAGTGGCTGGACTGACCTCAGCCCAGCGGGCGCTGCTCACTCATTAACTGACCCATGCTCAGGGTGAGTCACCATCTGCATTCCTGAACCCGGCAGAGGAAGCATTCCCACCCTGCTCTCAGAACGACTTCCAAACAAATGTGTTTTCAGGCACAAATCAGAGTTGACGCTCCCGGGGAAGCGTCTCTTCATGGTGGATACGGAGAAAGAGCCACTTAGAACTAGGCTTTTGGATGCTACCTGCTCACCACGGAAATGACTAACATCGTGAGCTAAAAAAGTGTGACATGGGCGGCAGGAAGGAACCCCCTCCTTAAACTCTGCCACTGGTCAAGAGGTTGGTGGAGACCTGGACCCACAGAGCTCAGGGCTGAAGGTTTCATTACACAAAAAACCAAAAACAGCAGGAGATGAGCTGAACACTGCTTCAGCCCGAGCAGGGCCAGCCTGGACAAAGCCCATTTTCATGAGACCCAGGGCAAGGCTGTGCCCCGGCCTGTCCTGGACCCAGGCATCCGAGGGAGTGTACTAATCTTTTCTGTTTATCCAGGGCTCGAGGCAAGCTGTCACAAGTCAGAAAGAAAAGGCACAAAATGGTAGAGACGAAAAACACACCTCAGGGGAGGAGGCTGACAGCTTGGAGGGTGGAAGCATTTTCCCTGGGAATGTTGGTGGGGCTGTCCCACCACATACCACGTCTGGGTGGGTCAGCAGTGCTCCAAGCAGAGGCCACAGGCAAGGGACCGTGCTGAGGATTAATGGAAAAATCACCAGTGCAGGAAATGATTTAAATCCACAAGATAACCACTGCAGCGATCTCTCCCCAAAAAGCAATTCTGGCACGAGTCTTCTTTGTGTGCACTTTGGAGTGATTTGTGCAGAACTTTTCCTCCCAAGAGATCACAAAACCTTTGCTGAAAGTCTTGGGGGTACACTCTGCGCCAGGAGTGGAACCACATGCATTCCCATGGAAATTTTAATACAGAATGAGAAAGCTGTTTTTCCAGCAACTCCACAGATAAGAATGGTTGGAGCCTGGGTTTGGGCAAATGGCCCAGTCAGTATGGATTTAAGATCCTCACTCATTAAAGATGAGACTTCGAACCATAAATCCCTGGGAAAGCTGGCTTTGTAAATCCTCATGAATCCTAGCTTGCATGTCACAGCATACCGGGTGTTTCATTTCAGGCCCCGAATGCCAGGCCAAGCCAGATAGGCCATGGAGTGAGTCCACCAGGCATGGGGACCTTCCAAGTGACAGCGGTAGGAGGAGAGAATGACCGCTATTTACCAAGAGCCCACCCTCTAGGTTCCACTACTGCTCGAACCTCATCTCGCAAATGCCTCACGGCTACCCAGGGAATCAGGTGTTGTCTCCATCTCACTGCTGAGAAAACACAACCAATACTTGCTTACATCAGGGATTCGAACCCAGCCGGACCTGTTTCCAGTGTGAGAGTTCCCCATGCCCCATGCGGAAGACAACCTTGATCTGATGTAGGTCAGATTAAGAAGGAGGAAGCATGCCAAACGGACGGGAAAAGCAGAGCAATAAACTCACATTTAAGATAAATGATTGCTTAAACCGTTTCATTGTTATTCGGAGTATTTTAATTCATTTTTTTAAGAATTATTTTATTCAAATTTATTTATCGATTTTCATTTGACCAGAGAGAGAGAGGGAAAACGAGAAAGCAAGCCGCCAGGTCTGGGACTTGAACCATGGTCGGCCATGGTGGCAGTCCAGCGCCCTTAACCACCAATCCACCTGCCAGACCCCGAGCATTTTCATTCTTACACTACGTTCAAATTCAACGGACTTTTCCCTGGCTGACAGTACATGTCTCTGCGAGTCAACACGCTGTTGCTCATGGCTGGAGGCTGAGCAGGCTACAAAAAGCACCTTCCCAAATCTTACTTTCTTTTTTCCTTTAACATGTCCTTATTCATTTCTTCCATGAGTGAGAGAGAAAGAGAGAAACAGAGCCCCCAGCAGGGTCGTAAAGCTGAGATTTCCTTCCCATCTCAGCTGGTGTGGGTCATGGGCACGTGTACCTGGCTTACTGAGGGTGGTCTCCAGACTTGAAGTGGGTGCTATTTCTGTGTGTCAGCCTTCCAGAGCACTGCAATTTACAGCAGCACCACCACAGGGCTCCCTAGATCCTATTTTCTTTTTTTAAATGAGGGTCTCATGGGACCAGTGGATGGCGTAACGGTTACATCACTGGACTCCCACGTAGTCGACCACGGTTCAAGTCCTGGACCCGGCAGCTTGAAACTCATGCCAGGCCTATGTGCATGCATGACCAAAATTGCAAGAGGAGAACAGAGAAGGGATTGTGACATGGCCATCCCTTCTGGGGGGTGATTTCTTGCTTTCTGTCTGTTTCTCTGGCAAGTGCACATGTACTATAGCAAAAAATCTAAAAAAAAAAAAAAAAGGAGAAGGTCTCTTTTCTATTACTTACTTAATTTTACTTATCATTATTATTTTTAAAATTTTTGCTACAGGGCATGTGTGCTCACCAAAGAGAGATAAAGTGAGAAAGCAGGCCGCTGCCAAGTTTGGGACTCGAACCATGATCAGCCAGGTCGGAGTCTAGTATCTTAACCAGCACGCCACCTGCTGCTGCCCTCCTTCTTCCCCTCATTCTATTTTCATCAGTGGATCATACAAATCTTCTCCATAACTAACTAATTTAACAAAGTAACCTATACCCTAAAAATATGCTAACCCTGGAGCCAGTAAGACTCTTCTAATCTGCACCATGTGATTCCTCACTCTATCAAAGCTACAAATAGAGCTGGGGGAGTCAGCAAATCAGCCCAGGCTGCATGGAGGCCGTCTCACCCCCAACAGGAAAATGACAGCTCACCTATCTCCTTCCCTGTAGGAGGAGGTGAAGGAGCCCACGTGGGCTTGCTTCCACAGTTGTGGGACGTTTCGGGCTTTTTCTTGTTAAATAAGTCAAGGGCCTCCAGAGCCCTCCAGGAAGCTTGAGGTCATTCCGATTTTCTCAGACTGGTCTACACTCTGAAAACCAGGCTGGGTGGAGAAATGGAAGGATTTCCTCAGGCCTAGCCTCAGGCTCACTCACCATCAATGTTCACTTGTTCTTGAAAAGGCTTTTCGGAGTCTCACAACCCTACCGCTTCCAGCCCCAGCTCTCACTCGGCTCTAACCTAGAAAGTCCTTGATTTTTCTTGGAAAGAATTATTTTAACTTTATTTTTATTTTTTAAATTTGACCAGAGAGGGACAGAGAGAGAAAGAGGAAACAGAAAGTGAAAAAGCAAGCCACGAGGTCCAGGACTCGAACCACAGTCGGCCATGTGGGAGTCCAGTGCCCCCAACCACCACGTCACCTGCCAGCCCACAAAATTCCTTGACTTGCTTATAAACCAGTAAAAGAGTTTTAGTTGATATATAAAATTAAAAATCTATAGGTTAATGGATAAATGTTTGTATTATAACATTAGATCAAAAAAAAGCCAGATATAACATTATAATCTGGTTTAATCATAGCTATGTAAAACAAACTAAAAAAGCTTTTATTTGAGAAAAGATTGGCCAGAAATATGTCAAAATGCTGAGTAACTGTCAGACTATGGGTGTTTATTGGGTCACTGGGAAAGTCAAGATGCGTTTTTCCATAGAAAAACACATCATGACTCTCCCCACAACTCAACACATTGCTTCCAACATTTTCCAAACGTTTTATGGCAATTGATGGCTATGACTTGAACAATGGAAGGAGGGAAGCAAATAGTCCTGTTAAACTTTCAGAAACTTCATGAAGCTCAGGAGAAACCATATCCTATTTCTAAACCTAAACCTTCAGACTTAGCCTACACCAACCTAGTTCACACCTGTGAAGCAAACCAGTGTTTGCAGCCTGGCAGGGGGTCAGTGAGCTACTGCCATGGCCCACACCCACTTCCGGCCTAAGATATCACCAAGGCAGAACATACCCACCAGCTCCAAAACCAGAAGCCACCCATGAGAAAAGGAGGTACCCGAGAATATGTCCTTTCTCTGCTGACAGCTCCCCTTGCCTTCTCTGGCCGCCCACCTAGCCTCTCACGTCCCTGGACGCGCAGATGCAGTTCGGTAGGATCTAGGTTCTATCAATAGATCAGTAAGAGACTCCACCTCTCACCACTGTTCCTCACTCACTTCTGTGAATATTTCCACTGGTAAGACCCATGAAAGGTCATCTGGTGGCCCAGTCATAAAGAGCAATTTCTTTGAGGATACTGAAGATAGTTTAATCATTCATCTCTCTGTTACATTGGTTTTAACAAATCACTTTGGAGGAGTGAAGGAGGTAGCAGCCATTTTAAACATCTGTTTAAAACACTTTGTAAAGATTTTTATTTTTACTTATGCGCGTGCTGGAGAGACAGAGACTGAGAGACAGAAAGCAAGATATCACTCCCCAGGGGGGATGGCCATGCTACAATCCCTTCTACTCCATTCTTCTCTCGGGATCTTGGGCATGCACGCACATGCGCCCAGCATGAGTTTTAAGTTGCCAGGTCCGGGACTCGAACCATGGTCAACTACATGGGAGTTCAGTGATGTAACCATCATGCCATCTCCTGATCCCAAGATTTTAATTTTTTTAAATCATGTTTAGGAGCAAGAAGTCATCAAAAGGCATCCCTAAGTTTTTGTTGCTTTTCCCCAAAACCTTCCCTCTCCTCGCCACACCTGGCCCTGGCCACCTTAATTCCTGGCTTCCTCCATGGAGATTCCTCATCACACTGATATCTCTCCTTCCTCCAGAATCCCACTTCTCCCAGCATTCCTGCTCTTAGGGACCTGG